GTAAGGACAATGGGTCAGGACCATTATGATACAGTATTGCTCATGGAGCATCTAACCTTATATTATTTGATCCAAGTTATAAAAATAGTTAAGAAAGCTCTGTAGGAAAGTTCATAAACTCAGTAAGGGGGAATCTTGCCTTAAATTTAAAAAAAGGAAAGGAAATAACATTTCATTTATCATACATTGTTATTAAAATGATGCTTTTAAAGCATTATTGGATGTCGCCCTCAGAAGCGTCCTCGTAGCCTGTGACTTGCATTGTTAATAAATATTTTCTTAAATGTCCAAAGTTACAAGATAGTTGCTTAAAATGTTACAAAGACGTACCAAGTACATTAACCTGGGCTGCCTGAACCTGATGTCTGCATCTATCAGCTGGGTGAGGCGAGACAAGGCAGGAACAGCAGGCAAGTTGCCCATGGCACTGATGCTGGGGGCACATGCTGTGGTGCTATGTGAGTGGGACTGGACCCATAAGCTGCTTTGTAGCCATGGAGGTTGTCAGGCCATGGATATAAGTGGGGTAAGGATTGGGTTGCACAGCATACAGAAGAACAAAGGGGGAGGCATCAGGTACTCAGTGCAAGATTAGGGCAGTGGTTCCCAACCTGTGGCCTGTAGATCACCAGCAGTTTTTTATTGCTTCTTTTATAAACACAATGTAATATATGTACAACATATAAGAAATAAAACAAGCAATAAAATACAACTGAAAACATACAGTAGCACAGTGCATTACAATTGCTGAAACAGGCAGACAAATAATTACATGGTCTGCCAATTTTGGGAACCACTGCATTAGGGAACTAGGACCTTGGGTAGGACGTTGGCAGCCACAGCCTAAGAACAAAGTTGTTCTGCATTGTGGTACAATCTGCCACAGTATCCAAAAGAATTCGATTGTGCCATTTGTAAATGTGGAGTTATACAAACTCTGATTTTACACCAAAGGGGAGATTTTGATACTATTTGCTTAGAGCCCCTGTGTTACAGAGAAATTGACCGGATTTGTTGATCGAAACAATGTTCATGCAAACTGAAAAGTTGCTGCTTACTTTTTCTTCGCTAGTTGTTTTTAAAAATAAAAACTGCAGCTAAAACAGCAAACAATACATTTCATATAAAAACCTCACCAAATAACAACTCCCAGCTCCTTTCCACCCCTCTGATGAATGTTAAAACTTTAACGCGAGCGTTAAAGAGATACATGCCAAATCTTGTTGCTGCTACAGGGAATTTCAGGGTTGTTGTTTTTTAAAACAAAGAATCTTCATACAAGTAAATATGCATTGGTAGTACTGAGTAACATTTTATTAAATGTTAAGGTACAACTTTAAAATATAGGGAAATTTGAAAAGGCAAATACTTGAGTTCAACCAAATTTTCGCAAGCTTCAATTTTTGTGTTTAAATGTGCCTACTTGATAGGGGAGATTTGTGGAACAGGTATGCAAATCATGAAAAAGAATGAAAAACTCTGCACTGCTCAGAGAAAGCTGTGCAGAAAACATCATCGTGTTGTTTTTCTTTTCTTTTTTAAGCTCTAGGAAGCTGTGCATTTCCTGCGCCAATCCACAGGACTATCCAACCTACCAATTCTATTATTGTGGAGAAGCAGAGGGATGCTATTCTCATGCTGATGTGTGAGAAATGTTGCGCTCACGAGAAGTATGTCTAGCAGTTCCTGGGGTAACAAGGCTTGCAACTGACAAGATTAAATCTTTAGGCAGGACATAAAGCTCCAGGATCGACTCAGACAATAATCTGTTCACTCCATGGTGAGTGTTCACAATCACCCTGTGGGGAATCCCTTGTGCAGCATCATGGTAGAAAAGGGTTCTAGCATTACACTGAGTCTCCAGCCACCACGTTTTGTTATTTTTAATCGCTATTTGATTTTAATGAGAGTCTGGTGGCCATGGAGGTGGTCTCCTACCAGAGCCTTTCATGCAGCTCATTCCCCAAGGGTTCCCATAGTAAGGGAGGCTAAATAAACACATAAATCACCACAAAACAAAACAAAAAAATCCTTCCAGTAGCACCTTAAAGACCAACTAAGTTAGTTCTTGGTATGAGCTTTCGTGTGCATGCACACTTCTTCAGATACACAGTATTTTTTGTTTTGACTATGGCAGACCAACACGGCTACCTATCTGTAAATAAATCACCACAGTATCTAATTAATCCACACCTAGAATTTCTGTCTGTGGTTGAAAACCCTCTTGCAATTAATAAGAGTTCTCTACTTGGTTTAAAATAGAAGGCCAAAAGATAAGCATTGATGCCAGCGTCAAACAGAGAAATTATCTTAATGCAACAGGTCCCAGCCCAGTTCTAGTCATAAGCAACTAGGTGTGCACAACATCCAGAGTCCTGAAGGGATATACATGTTCCCAAACCTATCAAAAGGCGAGTTTTAAATTTGTCATTCAGAAATATGAACTCTGCTAAAGATCAGATAAAACACTTTCCCTCCCACGTGCGTTCTCTATTGCAGCAGGAAAATGAAAGGACTGCCACATGGAAATCACAACAAGTGGGAGAACAACACACAGTCAACAGAGAATCAAAAGCAAGTGCTCTCACCCTAACCTCACAATGTTGTTGGCAGGGGGAGAGGCTAGGGTGGCACATACTTGTGTCTGCTGGTTGGGAGGGTCTACCAAGAAGATGCCTGGGCAAGAGGCTATGGGGCATTTTGGGGCACCACAGATTATGGACCGATGGAATCCAAATCCCCATGGATCCCCCAAGGGGCCCAATCCTGTGCCAGCCCTGGAGCTGGAGCAGCAGTAAGCCAGAGGAGGAAATACTCCTCCTTTCCCTGTGTCCAGCAGCAGCAGGTAGGGCTGAAGATGCAGCAGTGAATCTGCTGCTTCTTACCTTCCCAGTCCTGGTAAGTGCCTTACAGACTTTGAACAGAGCAATTTGCCAAAAAGAGAATCTATAATTAATCTCTCTCTTCATGAGGACAGATATTCTATAACTGCTATTTGAATGAAGTGTTTCTCAAACGATTCCCTTTCTTTTTAGCTTTAAAGTAGACAAATTCCAAGCTGCTAAAGGATGAACAGGATATTAAAATGAAGACAGGGGATTTTTAATCATACTCATCCATGTTAAAAGGGGTAGTATACTTTACACGTCATTCACATAGCATCTGTGGTTGCCTAATGCCACTTGCCTTTAGTGGCATCATTTATTCATTTATTTTAAAAACTAATATCCTGTCCAGGTTTTTGTGTGTGTGTAAAACACCCAAGACGGCTGAGCATAACAAAAATGAAAAATCATCACGATTTAAAACAATGTAAGAGAATCCAGACATGAACAGTGAGTAAAATCAACAGCAGAAAAAGAACCAGGCACCACACTATTTCCCCCCGCCCAAATTTCTGTTCTTCTAAAATCAAGGGCAAAAACAAAAGCCCCAATGAGTTTGATCACATGAGGCTCATTCCCACTTCTGAGTCAAACCACTGGCCTGCCTATCCCAGTACTTCAGTGGCATTCAAGGTTTTGGACAAGAGATCTTCACCAACGTTGCAACCTGAGTTCCTTTCAACTACATATGCCACTGATTGAACCAGGGATCTTCTGCAAGCAAGATCCTGCCATAAAAGCCATAGCCCTCCCATAAAAGGCTTGCTGGCATTCAGCAATAATCCACAGATTAGCAAGAAAGCAGTTGGAACAGTTGGAAACGATTCAGAGAATATGCCAAGTCAGAGTTTGAAAAGCATGACGGCCCCTTTGCCAACAGCATTCAAGCAAGAATATTTCCAAGAAACCCAAAATGAGTACATTAAAATGCCTCGCTCTCAAGCGGTAATCACTGGGTGACTTGCTAGACAGGAACTTGAAGCAACACCGTCCCTTGCGAGAGTCCTCAACACCACAAGGCCCTTTCCCTAAACATACAAATCAAGATATAATTTCTGCACTCAAAGAAAAAGAGGGTTGTAGCCAATTAAGTTCTACTCAGTGTAGACCCATTACATTAATGAAAGTAAGTTAGCCATGTCTATTAACTTCAATGGGTTAGTTCTGAGTAGGACTAGACTGGGATACAACCCACAGTACTTTCACATGAAAAATTGCAATGTTTGGGTAAAAAAAAAATATGGGGGCAATCCATATGGTATTTTGGGTGCAGCTGCTGTCACAAAGTTGCTTGTGTCTGGCAGGCTCTCCTGCCCCAGATAATATTTTGTATTTATATCCTGTTGTTAAGGCAGACCAGCCTTTGCCAACCTGCTGCCCTCCAGAAATTTTGGACTACAGCTCTTATCATCGCTAGCCAGCACAAAACATCTGGAAAGTATCAGGCTGGTTGAAGGCTGGATCAGACCATGTAGATACTTCCCACACTAAAGTTAGGTAGCATGGGAAATGCCCCTGTGATCTAGTACATCATGGGAACTAGCTTTAGAGAGGCAGTGCTATGGCAGCAACTACACTGAAAAGGCTATACACCTGTTGGCCCTAGCTCACACTATATTCTGGCATCATGGTACTGGAAAAGCTAACCACATACTGCTTTCCTAAGCATATTACTCCACCATATAGGAAGAAACTGTTAACTCACATGTACTAGCCTCTATTTTGTTGTGTGTACAAAACTGGAAACTGCACATACGCTGTCTTTTAAAACCTGTACCTGTGCTACTACATGTACATGCCATTTTCAATTTGTGTACACATTATGCAGTTATTGCACGTGACAATTTACACAGACTTTATACGATTTTTTCTGACATCAAATTGCTATGCATTTAGGACATTTCTGGCACTAAAAGGAGTCACTGAACATATTAATTAATAACCCTAGGGCACCATTTATGCAAAGTGTTCTACTACGGAGATATGACCCCACTCAGTTGAAAATGACATTAATCTGTTGCCTTGAGCTAGTTGGAGAAGGGAGGGGGATCTAATAACTAATACAGTAATGATAATCTCAAACAACAAAATAAAAATAAGAACCACCAAAAGGAGTGTTCTATTAATAGGATCTTATGTTAACGTGACTTGCTGAATTCCCTTTAGGCCTTTCTAAATACATACCCAAATATGTTTGTTGTTGTTTTTAAAAAGTCTTATGGTACAAAAGTTGAATTTTCAGTTAATACCTGTACAATAATCCTGTAGAAAGATGGAAGAAGATTTGAATGTTTCTTACCCATCAAATGCTTTATGTGTACAAGGTAATTTCCAAACAAGGCAACCAATGTGAAAATTAGGGCAAAGGTGTTAATATGACAAACAACATTCATAAAAAAATAATACTCTGCTCACTTCTATCTTGCCTTTTAGCAGAATTACTCAATAGCTGTATCTATACTGCACTTTAAAAAGCCAAGAATATGCAGAGGTACAATCCTGATTAGACAACTTTGTGAATTAGGAATCTCTTAGGTCATAATCACCAACCAAGTAATACATTTTTAAAATTAGGAATATTGTTATGAAGCCACAGTTTATTCGTCCGCTCCTTCTCTGTATGAATGCATAATCCAATCTTCAAGGCACTATGACAGTGCAAGTCTTACAGAGCAATCCTAAATATGCTTACTCAGAAGTTTAAATGAGTTCAATAGTACTTATTTTCTGGTAAGCCTTATTGGAACTGGAGGCTTAGATCTACAAGTAGATCCCAAGTGTCTCCATTTTAACAAAAAGGTTGTAAAGTGAGGACTTCTGAATCAAAAAATCTTGTAATAAGGCTTGCATAAGGATGCACTGCGAAATCAGTAAGAAACAAAACTGGAAAGATTATACTATACTGAACAACTATTAACATTATTTATGTTTGCAAAAGTTCCTGAATGGTTTCCTTTTAACAAATTAGATTTTGTGTGCCATACTCTTCATGCAACACAGGAAGGAAAATTCATTTGGTAAATCTTTAAATCAATCAATCTTTAAATCATCCAGTTCAGCATCGCATTACAGTTACAAATTTAAGTGGTGAAACATGAAAGGCACTGAATAACAATTTCAAGACAACAGCTGGGAATTTTTAAGGAGGTTCTTAAGAATTTTGAGACTGGGAACATTGCACATATTTCATATGATGCACTTGTATCCATTCATGCAAAAACTGGATCTCAAACTTAGCGGCATTCAAAAATATTGTGAAGAAAACAGTGATAAATATGCACTTTCTCAATGAGCTCACTCTAAATAAATAAAGGAAACATGAATCTTTTTTCACAGACTCACCTCATCCAGAAATCTTAACTGAATCTGGCACTTAACTAGGAATTCATGAGCTCTGACAACACTTGCAACAGATAGAGATTCCATCCTCAGATATGAATATTAGAAGTTCTAGGTGCTTATTTAAACTGTACTAATTTTTAATCATGATGCCAACCTCATCCTCAAGGAAAGCTTCAGTATCACACAGAATCCCTGAAATTTACCAGTAGTTGAAACAGAAAGTGGTGAAACAATTTATTGCAAGAACTTTAAAACTAGCAGACTCTAGTCATACTTTCCTTTGTGCTTCAAATCTCATAATGCATGAAGCTGCCTTTCCAAGATTTATATTATGATTAACACATTGCTGAAGTTAAATAAATTGACAGATGTCATAGAAGTATATTTCCCTTATTTATTATCTAAGATTACCCAAGTCCTTATTCCCAGCTGTTTTAATCCTTAGCTTTTATCACCTTTGAATTTTCAAAGGTTTGTAATACAAGGTTCATATAAAGACCAACTGATTTAATGACAAAATTTTTTTAGTAAAGTTATTAGCTGTAGTCCTGCAGTCTGCTACCTAAACAAAAATACCACTGGTATCAGTGAGACTTGCCAGAAACTGCATACAGGATTTCAACCATGCTCTACTACTGGGGGAAATAGGGTGACTTTAGTTGTGTCCTGGTGCTTCTGTTCATGCAGTGAAACTTTTTTTTAAAAAAAAACTCGACCTCCATACTGTGAAAATTCCTCTCAGTTTCAAGGGCTGCTATTTGAGAAACACACGTCTAAAGCTCCCTTAGGCGCATTGAATTAGTTGTGCAGCTCTTTAGATCCTGTGTTTTCAACCTGTCTAAATAGGCCTGTGAGGGATCCGTAAAACAAAAAATGATCGCTGCATGACATAAAGTGGAGATTATTCCTGAGGTGGACTCAAAGACAATTTGATCAATGCCAAAAATATTGAGACCTGATTTGACAGATCCAAGGAAACGACACGCAAGAGGATCCTGCATGGTAAATTGGCACTCTCACAATAGTTCAAGAGAGCAGAAAGTTTTTTGAGAGGGGCTTCCCTTCTCATGGTGTACACACACATTTTTCTTTTCTCTCACTGCTGCCACTGGTCAAACAAGTCTGTAAGCTCCTGAAACAACACAAAAAGGTGTTTGCCAGAGATGAATGGTGATGGGTTTATGCACACTATTAGCAGTGATTCATCATTCGAACAACTTCCGCTCTTGGGAGCGAATAGGGAGTTACAACCCCCAGCCTAAAGCAGGCACCACAGAGGAGCTGTTTGTGTATCTGAGAAGCAGTCAACATGCAGGAGTGCTCTTGCATGTTGTTCTTCAAAATTAAACTCCGTTAAGGAAATGTTAAGTTCCTAAGGGGGTGGGGAAGCAATGTTCCAACTACTGTGTGCCAAAATTCTAATTTTTGTGTTCCACTAGTTAACTACTCCCCCAGCTCTCTAAATCTGCTTCTCGACAAGTCATATATAACACAGCATAGCACCTCTAAGAAAACAAACACAATCAAGAGAATTTTGCAATAGTAGATGATTTACACAAAATACCTATTAGTTAAATGGAAAACTGAGATGTGAACCAAAACAATCCTGAAAGCGTCAAAATAAGGACTTGGGATTGCTCTTTCTTCTGCGTCCAGTGCATGTCACCTGAACTCAGTGGTGTCAACTGAAGATGCGAAAGTAAATTCTGCTCCACGGCGTTTTGTGCATCTGTAAAAGTGGAATGTTGAATTGTAACTTCTGCAACACTTTCTCTTGGTTGCACCTGCGGGGCAGCCTCGTGGAATCCTGATATTACGTGGAGCCGCAACTACTCATTAAGATTCTAACAATGAGTGCCACCTACATACTTGCTGTCCTTTGGATTCCTTCATCTCAGTCCAGTGATTTAGTTCCTCTTCGCCAGAACTGTTCAAACCTAAAGAAATCCAGCCTATCATTTCCTTTCGTTTCATGCTGCGTTTATTGTACACAGACAATATGAGTGTAACGTCAGAAAGCTGAAACAGTGCCACCTGGAAAATAAAGGTCTCTTTGTAGACTGGATTCGGTTGCCCTCTTCGGATAGATGTCTTGCATTTGGACATCTCTTGGCCCATAGAATTCAGCAACGTCAGCTTAACAAACGTATCTACAAAATAAACAATGTCATGCATAAGATGCTTTAGACAAAGGATTTCTCCTACGAAAATACACCAGACTATCTTTAAGGTTATGGCGTTATACCATGTTGGATTTTGAGTAGTTGACTAAACTTAAGCCATGTTTAAAAAAGGAAGTAAACATTGAAGTTCAACTTTTACTTAATTGCATTATCCTTACATAACAAGTTTACTTAAAGGTATACCTCATAATCCTTCTATCCATTCACCCCCTGCTCACTTGCATAAAGCAGACATGTGTAGCATTAACACTCAGCAAGCTACAACTGGCCACAACACTGTAAAGCATTTCAAGAGTTTTCAGATAATGTAAACAGGTGGATAAAAGAGAAATGAAATAAACAAATAGTTTTACAAGTAAAAATATATGTATGAGGTGGAGTGCAGTGATGACATCATGGGTGCTCAGAATGAAATGTTTACTGGGGGGAAATTCTCTGCATGGATGTGGTTCAAGGGTTGTCAGTTTTTTCTTTCATTTGTGAATATTTAAAATGCCAAAAAAACAAAATGCATTGACAAGCTGATGTTTACTCATCTGAGTAATGCTCTCTCTTCATGTCTAATTTTTAATATTCAATGTCTTGTTTTGTTTTGTTACATTATTTGGGCACAGTTGCTTTATAGTGCTTTTAAGAAGTACTATGCTATAACAATAGCTCAGATAGTCAGGCCACAATCCAAAATCCTATCTGCACAGGGGGATATATTCCAATGTTGATAGAAGAGAACAGGAAAGCCTCTATCTGTGCACCAGAGCTACTGAATCGTGGACATGAATTCATTAATACAACATTTGACACCAAAAAACTATCAGTTTCATTATAGTGTTTTCCACTTTGTCTGGGAAAATACACTCATGGCCACTGAATGCAGGATGCTGCATCTATATCTGTACTTAATGGTATTTAGAAACAAGACAGTTTTTGTGCCTTCTTTTTGGCTTACCCATTAAATTCGACTTCACATTTTAATTTTCAGATCTTTGAAATACCATCATCCAGTCAGAGATTTGGTCTATCTCCATTAAAAGAGTGAAATAGTTAATTAAGGTAAATTGTCAGAAACCAACATGGTGGCGAGTGGTGGAGAGCTTTGCTGCTGGCAACTTTCTTTTGCATGAAAAAGACAACATCCAATTAGTCTCTACAGGAACTCACCTCGTATTATATAAACCTGTCCACCTATCAAGTGTTTTAGACAACAGAACAGTCCGTCTGACAACAGGGGGTGGAAAGCAGTAAAAGAAATAATGACCAGATGTCAATAGTTGGGTGAGAGAGGATCAAAGGTTAAAGTTTAAGAGGAAACACTATTCACCAGAGTGGAAGAAAATGAAACCTTAACAAATCTGTTTAGAGAGAGGGACCAAACAAAAGGATTGGCAGGTACAATTGAATGAAATGAATTCTGTAAGGTCACTGTGTAATCTTCAACAGGAAAAAAAATTACACTGTTTCAAGTAATGGGATATTTTAGTACTAATTTCTATTGTGTTTCTAACACAGAACATACAGATTCATGCAAAAGATTACGCTACAAAACTACAGAAATCATAGTGTCACCTTTACCGGACCATCCTCTTTTTCATGCAAACTCCAGCTTTTTGAGTAAGGGTCAGTTCAATGACCTCAAACTAGTGGAGCCTCATTTGAGGTCAATGGGATTACAAAAGGGTAAGCGGTCACTGAATTGAATCCTGTATATATTACAAACAATAAGGTGAAAGCTAATTGGATTAAACATTAGTTTGATCAATACACTGGTTGTTGGGTGTTTTGTTTTTTTATTAAAAAAAAAAACCACAACACTATTCTGTACATTTAATGCTACTTTACACCATCATTTGTCTGAGATAAATTATTACACCAAAGTGCAAAATCATGTGATCATAGACCATCTAAAGCTTAATGGCTGCTTCAATGCACCCATAAAGCTCTCCTGTAAGAATAGGCTTTCTACTCAAACTACAGTGTCAGGGAAGCCTGAGTGAAAAACATAGTGGAGATTAGTGCCTAGATCTGTTCCCAATACTGCAGTGAACAGATAGAAAAATTTGGTGTGTGGATCACAACACCTGCATGTGCAAGGAGATTCTGGATCAGAGCACCAGATTCCTAAACTCATGACTGTAATATGGGTCCATTTCAAACAAAATGGAAGAAGATACAGTGGTACCTTGGGTTAAGAACTTAATTTGTTCTAGAGGTCTTAACCTGAAACTGTTCTTAACCTGAGGTACCACTTTAGCTACTGGGGCCTCCTGCTGCTGTGCCATAGCACAATTCCTGTTCTGATCCTGAAGCAAAGTTCTTAACCCGAGGTACTATTTCTGGGTTAGCGGAATCTGTAACCTGAAGCGTATGTAACCTGAAGCGTCTGTAACCCAAGGTACTACTGCATAGGGCAGAACACATATAACTTTTTTCTTGTCTTGGATGTTCAAGATTGCTTAAAAGGTTTCTTTTAAAAAAATAATGCTAGCAGCAACCCAAACGGATAGATAGAAGTGTATACAATTATGAATGGCATGGAAGAAGTGGATAGAGAAAAGTTTTTCTCCCTCTCTCATAACACTAGAACTCAAGGACATTAAGCCGAATGCTGGAAGATTCAGGACAGATAAAAGAATGTATTTCTTCACACAGCACATAGTTAAACTACGGAACTCACTCCCCCAGCAGCAGAGATAGCCACCAACCTAGATGCCTTTAAAAGAGGATTAGACAAATTCATGCAGGAGAGGGCAATTGATGGCTATCAGCCACAACGACTATCTCCATGGCAGTAATACTTCTGAGTACCAGTTGCTGGAAACAGCAGGAGGGGAGATTGCTGTTGCACTCAGGTCCGGCTCGCAGGCTTCCAACAGACATCTGGCTGGCCACTGTGCGAACAGGATGCTGGACTAGATGGGCTATTGGCCTGATCCAGCAGGCTCTTCTTATGTTCTTACGACTTAACATCTTGGTAGCAATGGTTGTTGAGTATCCTACCTAGTTTGTCTTTTCTCCTCCCCAGGTTCCGACTACCACTGCGGTTTTCTACCGCTTACTTTTTTCTTTACTGATTTATATATGCGTGGCTCCCAAAGGGCTAAATTTGGGTGCTAGCACAATGTACATCTGATTCCTGGGCCTGCTTGCACATTCTGGTCCCAACAAGTGAACAAAAGGAACTCAAATATGCCCAGTTCAAACACATTCCTAGCTCCATCTGAGGCTACGGGGTGGAGCAGTCTAGTGGGGGCAGGAAAGGAAGAATTCACAGTGGAAGAACAGAGCCTTGACAGTCTTGTGATGACTAGGCTGGTAGATGGATGCCAGGCCACTGCAGGGAAAATATGTGGAAGTTCCAAGACATCCTTTTCATCTATTGTTGGGGGCATGCCATGGGCATGGGAGAGATTTAGATCATGTAGATCCAATGTCTCTTTCATTCTTCCCTGACATGCCCCCTTTCCCTTACCAACACAGCAGAAGCACTGGATGCAGAAGAGACTTCCAGTTACAGAAGTTCCCTCTGGGGTAGATCTCCTCTGCCTGCAGATCTCCCTCTCCACCCATGGAGTGAGAGGTCTGCAATTTCTTAGGATTGCACCCATATTTGCCCAGTTTATCCATAAGGGCAAGCCAAACCATGGCTCAGCGTGACTGTTCAAGTGCACAGGTACGCACAGTAGAAATCACAGCCACTTTGCTCCTTCCTGGTCTTGCTACTGCTGTCCAACCCAATGCTACCCCATGGTTTGGCTTAGCATTATGTCTGAACTCGGGTTTGTTGTTTGAGTACCGCATACAAACAAGAAGCAGGAAGCCAAGAACAAACCGCATGACTGCCTTCCTATCTATCTCTAGAGTGTGCAACATTTCTTCATATCTGGTATCAGGAAGAAATATAATATAAATCATATTATACTATGAGAATATAAAATCTAAATTATACATGTCGGTATCAGTTAAACTCTCACACACTGATAAACTCTTACAAGAGGATCCTTAACCACAGTAGCATCAACACATTTACATAAACATTCATTGGCACACACTTTTAATATACATTATAACTTTTTATATTGGCTCTGTGATGTGAGGCATTAATAGTTTAGCAATTAATCATTATGATAAAGGCAATTTATTAGTCAGCCAGTCATGAAAAATTAAAAGGATCTTGTCAAATCACAACTAATATTTTGAATTTTAGATTTCTGCCATTTCCCCAATGACTGGAAATATAAAACATGAAACAGATTAGCTGATGATTGCAGTATTTCAGTTTGACTGGATAAAGCTAAATGATAGGATTGAAGTCCCCACCAGTGAAATCCCCCCAAGTGCAGAAGTATTAGGATAAAAAAAATATATTCCACTCACTGGGTGGTCTGTTTGCTGCCAGGTTTTTGAAGTGGCTGCCTTTTATCACTTCTGCTGCTAGTCTTCCAGTTGTGGCATTATAAAGCAGTCCAATGAGGATTTCTGGAGCTGAGCCATGTGCCAGAGACTGACAGGAGGAGGTACTTTCACTGCAGGACATTTCTGACATGCTCATTTGGGAGTCGCAGCCCTAGAAGCAAAAGCAAAGCGTTTGCAAGCATTTTATGCAGCCAAGATACTGAAGAACCCTTTCCCAGTATTTATATCTCCCTAGATTTTGACTCTAACTTGATCTTAACAGCACATGACAGCTTAATGAAAACAAAAACGGGGGTGTGGATCTGAAAGAACAATACATATAAGAGTGAAATATAACCCTCCTCAAAATATAAAGAAGGCCACCTTCTATGCCAACAGAACCAATATCACAAATAGGAATAACAAGTTCTCAAAGTGTTGGAAAATGCTCAGTTTTGCACTTGGAACAGAGTCAGGAGGGAAAATCCATGCACAGAAAGGTTTTCACTACCCTCTTGGTCTAAGAATGAATTCTCATGCTCAACGCCTGCAGAGAGACACACAGTGTCCCTGCACCATTCATACAACATTAAACCAAGGACCAGCCCCGATCACTTTCTACCAGAGAGATCAATTCCAGGAACCTGTTTCCTCTATCTTTCTATAACAGCTGTAGGAGAATGCAGCAAGGCGAGATTCCAGGGGCCCCCAATGTTCAGAGCAAAGCCGAGGCAAAATATCAAGCTGTGAAATTCGATGCTCAATTCCCCCACCCCAGAAAACAATTAAATCTCATCACATACATTCTAAGCCAGGATTACATTACCATCCCAGCCCAAAGAACCGGAATTACCTTGCCTTAAGTCAGAAACACAGTATGATAAATCTGGTTGCTGGAAATCAAAGGTATGCTTCTGCAGGTTTCCCATAACTGCAGGCAAGGGTCTATCACCGACACTCAGTGTGGTGCAAAGCCAAGTGCAACCTTCTACAAATCAGTTGGGTGCAACAAAGCAGCAAGCAATTCAAATGACTCGGCAAGATACCGGCAAATGGTCTCCAATAACCGCACATTGTGTAAACGAAAGATCGCCGCAAGCACAAATCTAACACTCAGGGAAGCAAGCACAGACACAAATGTAAAATTATGTTTTTGAAATGTGTATGTATGTGTATTGCATCTGACCTGAAGAGACAACTCTCCACCAGGGACCTGCCTTTTCAAAACCCTGCTTCGTGTTCTTATAAATTAGGAATCTTTTCCAGAAAGCAGTTGCAAGCATGTGTTTGCTGCTAAGAAGCACATTCTACTCTAAACGGGTGCCCTGTATTTGCCTTTGTTTGGGATAGTAAATTATGTAGTGGACAGTAAACAATGTAGCCAGGGTGTAAGATATCAGATGTTGGTCCATCTTTGCTATGTGGTAGGCATTTGTAGGCACCTCTTCTGGCAGCAACCACATCCCATGCATGAAAACTAGGAAATCTGAGACCTCTCTTCCCACTTGGATTTCTCTCCTAACAGACACCTCTGCTTTTGAGGAAAGTTCACTAAACAACTTTCAATCAATAGTAAGGGCCCTGGAGACCTGCAGCTCCTGGTAAGCTGGACCTCTGACAAGAAGGGTAAGGTAGTTATAGCCTGACCTCCATCTCCTTGTGCCTTCTCTTGGCTACCAAGAAACACCCCTGTGCCCCATGTAAGTATACTTTCTTATTTCTCACTTCATTCCAGATGCCACTTTTGTCTTCTACACTCTGTCACCTCTACTTCAGGTGCAACTGGGTATCAGAGGATGTGTGAAGCAGATGTCCTCTTCCAGGGTTAATACCAAGATAAGGGTAACTACCCAAGATAGCAAGAATCTATTTGGACCAGATTGTTCAAGGATCTTTTCCACTTTTTGGAAACGTCAGCATGGGGCTTCTTGGTGACTCAGGATATCCTTTTTTCAACACTGGTGCGAGGCTTTAATGGGGTGGAGAAGTGCTACAATGAGGTGTCTTCCTGCCTTTTCAGGAATCAGGTATCAAGAAATGTGCCTCAAGCTAAGATTATCTTATATGCAACTACAATCTCTGGCATACACTTAGAACATTTCCATTTTTTTTCAGTGGAAGAAGTATGCATGCACAATATGTTAAAGAATCTACTAGCCATTCTTTCTTGGTAGGGGTTATATTTTCTTTCCACCTATGACCTAACAACTGGGATGCGGGTGGCGCTGTGGGAAAAGCCTCAGCGCCTAGGGCTTGCCGATCGAAAGGTCGGCGGTTCGAATCCCCGCAGCGGGGTGCGCTCCCGCTGCTCGGTCCCAGCGCCTGCCAACCTAGCAGTTCGAAAGCACCCCCGGGTGCAAGTAGATAAATAGGGACCGCTTACTAGCGGGAAGGTAAACAGCGTTTCTGTGTGCGGCTCTGGCTCGCCAGAGCAGCGATGTCACGCTGGCCACGTGACCCGGAAGTGTCTCCGGACAGCGCTGGCCCCCGGCCTCTTGAGTGAGATGGGCGCACAACCCTAGAGTCTGTCAAGACTGGCCCGTACGGGCAGGGGTACCTTTACCTTTACCTTTATGACCTAACAAAGTCTGGGCATCTGTAGTCACATATATAAAGAGTCTCTTCCGGTTATTTGGAATCTTTGCACCTAGGATTCCTAAAAGAAAAGCTTCTGGCTTCTTAGAAAAGGTTATCTTGAACAGGAATGTTCCTGTTTTGGCACTGAAAGGTTAACTTACTTTATTTCTACAATTCTACATGCTTCCCAGGTTGACTCATGGTTAGAGACAGAAAAGCAAGCTGCTAAGTTAAGATTAAAGGTCTCCTGTCCCATACTGGAGCAAGAGCCAGGTACCGAGTCAAACTCCGAGTGAAGCCCATTCCCCCCGTCCCTGGGGGGGAATTTGCAAGGGTGATTTACCCTCTGTCATCCTTGTTTTTCATTTGCTGGTGATCCCCCGCTGTTGTGGGGGCTGCTTCCATTAAGGCAGGGGGGACCGAAAGCCCCATTGGACCATATTTGTAATCAGAATATTTGTGATGATAGTATAGCTTCTATTTAAGATGAGGGGGTGAGATCTAGTTTGAATAAAATTTAGAGCCAATCTCTTTTATTGATTTATGAAAAATCTTGCCGGCTACATATGCCATTCTAGTGGTACTGTAAAAAATGATAAAATAGACTGTTGTTTTATTAAGGGTACAATCCAAACTCCTGTAGGGTACAACTGGACATCATGGCGATCAGAGCAGAAGGTGGGTGGCACGAAATTACCATTCTGGACCAGCTCCAGGTTGACACAGCAGAGAGACCTGGATTGGGCCTGTCAATGGACTGGCTTAGGATCAGTGGTTCCTTTGCCAACCCAAAACTCTCTACTCCTCACCCCTGAAAAGCCTTGTTTGTGAGGCACACACAAGCTGTAGCTGACACTGACACTGCCAGTGGTAGCTTCCACACGTTCAGTCACATGCAGTTGGAAGCCCCGTCCGAATTCACTCCAGTGCAGAGGATTGATCTGCTCATCTACAATCCTATATCCACTTATCTAGGAGAAAGCCACACAGAACTCATTGATTCTTAATTCTGCATAGACCATGGGTAGGTAAACTAAGGCCCGGGGGCCAGATCCGGCCCAATTGCCTTCTCAATCCGGCCTGCGGATGGTCCAGGAATCAGCGTGTTTTTACATGAGTAGAATGTGTCCTTTTATTTAAAATGCATCTCTGGGTTATTTGTGGGGCCTGCCTGGTGTTTTTACATGAGTAGAATGTGTGCTTTTATTTAAAATGCATCTCTGGGTTATTTGTGGGGCCTGCCTGGTGTTTTTACATGAGTAGAATGTGTGCTTTTATTTAAAATGCATCTCTGGGTTATTTGTGGGGCATAGGAATTCGTTCATCCCCCCCCCATATAGTTCAGCCCCTCACAAGGTCTGCTGAAAAAGTTTGCTGACCCCTGGCATAGACTCTATAGAATTGCATGAAGCACCTAATCAGAGTTTTAGAAGAATTGGTTAAAAGACAACTTCTCAAAGGCCTTTGCTTCTAATTTGTTTTTTTCAATCTCAAGAGGGCAAACTGGTAGATGCACTATTAAAAATCTCCTTCTGTCTTGGGCAAAAACACTGATTAAAGTAAAATCAAATGAAAAACATAATTCCTTCACTGGGTATAATCAAGAGACTCAAATCTTTAAAAATTATTACATACAGCTGTAATTTATTACTACAGAGTCTATAAAGTTATATCAAATTTCCTTCTGCAAATCATAAATAATATGTGAAATATATGCATAGGCAAATTATTCTGAGAACAAAAGTATCACACTATTCACAGATCAGCTTTGTTCCCAAACTTAAGCTACTGTGAATAATATACTCTCAAAATGAAATGACAAAACAGAATTTATATGTTTTGGCAAATCAGTGTTCCAACTTCCTCAACAGACATTTGGCAAGGTAAGAATGGCACCCTTGTGCCACTTTTCTCATTTGATGCACAATGCAGTGTCTTTATAAGTTTTCTAATAAAAATTATGCAGTACATCTTAGTGGGTAAAAATGAGAAGATAGATTATTTAATTTGTTTGGAATGTGCTCTGACAAAGCATTAAAATTATTGCCTAGATACCCTTTTTATAGTCTACATTAGGGTCTAATAGTGTCAATATGCAAGGCATCTTTCACTGACAAACATACTTCACAGCTATGTAGCCATAAAAACTTTTCAAACATTTGATTAAAGGGTAAGCAGGCACATATCAGTCTATTTCTGGTTTATGCCTCTTTCAAGCAATGTTTTTTCATAAATCCATTTCATCGTGTTTCTGCATCAATCTACAAGATTTTAAAAAACTCACAAAAGTCAAATTTAAATAAATACTTTTTGAACATATTTTATCTCTAAATATGCATTTATAAATGTATTTCACCTCAGATACTTCACATATTTTGGAGTGAAAAACTGCAGCAGAAAATTCAGAGGAGTGCTAAATCTAAAGAATAACTAGGTTCCAATCTGCCTAATAGCTTGGGAGGTGTGTGTGGGTCAGCTCAGTTTCTATCAGAATTCACAAAGAGCAACTTCCTCAGGCATCCCCGATAAAGGGATCCCAAGTCAAAAATCACAACCTAACATAGAGTTAACCACGCATAAGGTCAGTAGTAGCATGACACTGGCATCACTGCTGCTTACTTGGACAGGGGTGGGAACAGGCCACAGTCCCACCAATGCAACCATGTAGCCCTGACCTCACTGTTGCCCTGCCTTGTCCAGGTAAGCCGCAGAAATGCCAGTCACAGGAGGCCACAACACACACTGCTACTGATTAAGCCCACTAAAATTCATGGTCTTAAATGTTAATTCATGGCTGTGAGTACTCTGAAAGAACAGCCCATTAGCAAAATAATGGCAGCCACCTCATGATTTTTTTTTGCAAGCTTTATAGAAAATCCCCCAGAGAATATTGCATGTGTGTGTGTGTGTGTGTGTGTGTGTAGATCCACTATTCTTTGAGGAATCAATTCTATAAAGAAAGCATATGACCTGTAAAGGTAAAGGGACTCCTGACCATTAGGTCTGTTGTTGTTGTTTAGTCGTTTAGTCGTGTCCGACTCTTTGTGACCCCATGGACCAGAGCACGCCAGGCACTCCTGTCTTCCACTGCCTCCCGCAGTTTGGTCAGGCTCATGTTCGTAGCTTCAAGAACACTGTCCAACCACCTCGCCCTGTCGTCCCCTTCTCCTTGTGCCCTCCATCTTTCCCAACATCAGGGTCTTTTCCAGGGAGTCTTCTCTTCTCATGAGGTGGCCAAAGTACTGGAGCCTCAACTTCACGATCTGTCCTTTCAGTGAGCACTCAGGGTTGATTTCCTTAAGAATGGATACGTTTGATCTTCTTGCAGTCCATGGGACTCTCAAGAGTCTCCTCCAGCACCATAATTCAAAAGCATCAATTCTTCGGCAATCAGCCTTCTTGATGGTCCAGCTCTCACTTCCATACATCACTACTGGGAAAACCATGGCTTTAACTATACGGACCTTTGTTGGCAAGGTGATGTCTCTGCTAGACCATTAGGTCTAGTTGTGGCCAACTCTGGGGTTGCGGCGCTCATCTCGCTTTATTGGCCGAGGGAGCTGGCGTACAGCTTCCAGGTCATGTGGCCAGCATGACTAAGCCGCTTTTGGCGAACCAGAGCAACACACGGAAACGCCATTTACCTTCCCACCGGAACGGTACCTATTTATCTACTTGCACTTTGACGTGCTTTCAAACTGCTAGGTTGGCAGGAGCTGGGACCGAGCAACGGGAGCTCACCCGGGAGCAGGGATTCGAACCGCGACCTTCTGATCAGTAAGTCCTAGGCTCTGTGGTTTAACCCACAGCGCCACCCGCGTCCCTATATGACCTGTAAGCGATAGATAGCTCCATTGTCCTTAAAGTCTTTTGACAGTTTCTTGAATATAGCATATGATGCTCCCCTGTCTCATTGCAAATTCAGATGGGAAGGATTTGGTTTAGTGCTGCCTGCAGCTGATGCAAGGTGATTCAAGCCATTTGGCAGAATCCTACCATGCTTCTCACAAGGTGATACAATAAATACATATCTGAGGAACCTGGAGGAAACTGTGTAGTAAATGCAGGGAAACTGTGTAGTAAATGCAGGGAAAACTAACTGGAGCTTAGGAAGCTGAATCATTCTGTTTCTTCTCTTTTCACCCTTCTGTCCCCCTACCCATGTTTATTTCTAGTACCACCAGCTTTCAAACCTAGACTTGAGCAACAGTTGTTCATTGTGGATCTGTTCAGACAAGCCACTTACATTATTTCAAAGAGCTCACACATTCCAACTTAGTAATACTCATCTTGTATTACACAAATGAGAGCCATGTTGTTTACGTTACATTGTAGGATAAAATGATGTGCCCACATTGAGCTGGATTAATTACCTCAGATTTAACGTTTCCTGAAAGCACCCCCTCAGATGATAATTATTACAGAAAAAACTATCAGAGATCTCATATTTCTTTCTGTCTTGGTCTCCAATGGAGTAAACCTTCCAGTATTTCTGATAGCATCCTGTTACAAAGGAATCTCGGCCAGTGGCGTAGCGTGGGTTGTCAGCACCCGGGGCAAGGCAAGTAATTTGCGCCCCCTAACCCGTGGATTTGCACCCCCTAACCTGTGGATTTGCCCTAACCCCAGATGTTGCGCCCGGTGCGGCCGGCCCCCCCTGCACCCCCCACGCTACGCCACTGATCTCGGCTGACATGCAACAGCAAAAGCAATACAGTTCAAAGCACAATTAATAGCATCCATCTTTTTTAAATATATATATATATATAATTAATTTACTATTTTCAGGTTTACACACACACACACACACACACACACACTCCTCAAAGGCCAAGATAAAGAGGTGTGTCTTTAGCATATGACAAAAACTGAATAATGGTAATGCTACATGGACCTTTGCTGGGAAGGAATTACAAAATTTTAGGGCTACTACCAGGGCCAGTCCAAGCCATTTCAGCACCTGAGGTGAACTCCAAAATGGATTATCTCCTTCCCCACCAGAAAAGAAGGAGTGAGCGAATTTCATTAAATCAACCAACTACTCATTGCCCCGCTGTAACGATTGTCCTGCTGTAGAGAAGTATATTTCTTTGTGGCACAAATAATGGTTCTAATCAGAATCCTTGGTTGTACACTTTTCTGTATGATTTAATACTCACGGAAATAGGGTACGCTGGCTCCAATGTCACTGGTACCGACATCTTCCCTTGAAGATTTAATTTGGTTAAGTAAAATATCTTTTCTCCCAAAATCCTCTCTCTTTTTACACGGCGTATACTGTACAGTCTAAAGCGCACTGCATAATTCCCAATCATCTCAGACTCAATATGATTAAATTTAAATGTCTCAGTGAAGACAGGGCATGGACCCCGCTGGATGCTGGTCTTTGCTCTCTGCTTCTTGATAGGAAGAAGAACCAGGTGTACTTGCCATAAACTTCCACTTGTCCTGCTATAATTTGGAATGTCTGTGACAGCTGTCACTGTTATCAGAAGCCTCTGTTCCTGCGAGTCGTAGTCAAAAGTCACATCCAGGGTGCCATACTTAGCTTCTGGTTCAGGATCAAAAGATTTAGGGAGCTGTGATGATGATCCTCGAGCTGACAGATCCTAAATGAAATGGAGCAGAGGTTTTACATACATTCACACCCATTTAGACATCTATAACTGTATCGATACACTCTGTGATACATTTTGTTAAAAGTGATTCCGCGAATATGTGTCTTTACATAAATTGTTAAAATTAAAATGCTTGTCCTCAGTGACGGAGTATGATGTTTTTGTTCATTTCACACACAAGGTATCTGAATATTCAAGGAGGGACAGTGCTGTCAGGCAGTCAAACAAAAAATGAGAGGGCTTCTTTTACTGCTTGTGAAAAGAGCCAATCAGAAGAAAGAAAGGCAAGAATAAAAGGTTCATAGCAATAAGGTGAAAGTGTTTGGAAACAGCTGGGAGAACTGGCTAGGACAATGTTGAAGGGGTCGGGAGGAGCTGGAGAATTAAATGACAATTTAATTCATCAATGATATAATAAACCATTTTGAAATGTTTGCATAAAAATGAATAAAACAGAAATAAAACACAGAAATAAGTGACAATTTTTGGATTGTGCAGCCTGATACATAGAAGCAGGGGCTGTAGAAATTGTGCTTTTAAAGGCAAGACTAGGCGATGTTGTTCATGACATTATCAATTGTGGGCATGGCATTTTAAAAGTTAAAAGCATGTGCAGGAGGTCTGATCTGGATCAGGGTGGGTAAGCTAACCCCTTTCCCTCTACTATAGTCACTTTCAGGATTAGGCCTTCTGCACCTGCTATGTCTATTGGGAACTTCCATTTGTGATTAATAATAATAATAATAATAATAATAATAATAATAATAATAAAATAGCTGTTTCAAAACACCTGGTGATTCTTCAGAGTGCCAGATTTATTTTAAGGGAGGGACAGATAAGTAATCCCTGCATGAGGGTGCTATGTGCTGACACCACAGCCTTTTTCCACCTATTTCACCCTGTGCTTTACTAAAAAGAAAACCAAAACCCTGCTACCAGACTGGTCAAATGACCAGTCAAAGTGACATTTGGTATGTGAGAAGAAAGACTCAATTAAAAATAAAACACCTTCCTAATTGCATGCTGTACATTTAAACTACCCAAGCGCATTATTAATTATAAGTAAGAATGAGATTCACATGTGTAGCCAAATCTGCTAATAATTATGGTTGTGGTGGATGACGGTGGTGTTATCTGTGTACCAAACATTAAGATTCCAGTCAAAGAATTCCACTGAAAAGTTAGTAAGTCTAACTATAATAGACTTACATTCATATACTTATTTGTTGCAATTACTTCTTTCCCACCTTTCAGGATACAAATCCTTCCACGGCAGCTCATTAATGACATTAAATTACTTTTTTAAAGTACGCAATATTTTACTATGAGGAAAGTAAAAAGTCATGGCTATTCTTCCCACAGGGCACTTGGTGGAAGAAATGCTCAGGGGCAGGTTTGGGGAAGGAGACGTTAACTTCAGGCCCTGAGGTGGTCTTCTGATATGTCAGAATTGGGGAGTGTTTTTCAGCCCGGGGGCCACCTTTTCTTCTGGGCAAGTTTCCGGGGGCCACAGGGAAGTGATGAGTGGGGCCAGAGGGAAAGATGGTTTTTACCTTTTTACAGTAGGCTAGTTTCCACATACTCTCTCACACACACACTCCTTGATCCTCTATCCAGGCAAACAAGAAGAATTACCACATCCTCTCTAATTTAAACTCTAGCCAAGGCTTTGATAGAGGCTGCATCTCAGTTTTCATGCTTAGTAGGTAAAAGGTAAGGGGACCCCTGACCGTTAGGCCCAGTCGTGGCCAACTCTGGGGTTGCAGCGCTCATCTCGCTTTATTGGCCGAGGGAGCCGGCGTACAGCTTCCGGGTCATGTGGCCAGCATGACTAAAACACTTCTGGCGAACCAGAGCAGCGCACGGAAATGCCGTTTACCTTCCCACCGCAGTGGTACCTATTTATCTACTTGCACTTTGACGTGCTTTCGAACTGCTAGGTTGGCAGGAGCAGGAGCAGGGACCGAGCAACGGGAGCTCACCCCATCGCGGGGATTCGAACCGCCAACCTTCTGATCGGCAAGTCCTAGGCTCTGTGGTTTAACCCACAGCGCCACCTGGAGGAACTTAAAGAGTTCTCTGCCTGTGTCTCAGGTGGTGCATGTATGGCTCAATGGGGAAAGCCATCTTTCAAGGCCCGACTGATCTGTAATGTACCGGACCAATGCTGCTTCATTATATCCTGAATAATTTTGGTACAATTGGGAGAGCGTGTGTTTACCTCTGGGCTAAGGACTGCAGTGCTGTCACTGGGTACATCTTCTTCATATCCTTTGTTATGGAAGCTTTCTATTTCATGCCCAGTGCTCCCTTCACTTGGGCATTTATATGAGCATCTCGGACTGTTGCTACACTGAGAGAATTCACATTTGCTGTCACCAACTTCGGAGGGCGTGCATGAGAGATGCGGGGAGCCGCTATCATCTTGGTACGGTGGGGGCTGCAATTCATCAAGAGGAGGTGTTTGTCTCATTCTCTGAATGCAGTTTGCTAGGAATAAATAACAGTTATCATAGGCTTTCATTCTGTAAGAAATGTGGCTGGAAGAGAAAAACATCATTTGTTTAGCAAGGTGGTGCTTTACGAGGAATTCAAACATGGTGGCCCTGACCCAAGGGGTTATGTGCTGAGCTTGGTGCATGAAGAAGGAACTGCATCCCTCATCTCTAGGTATGCTCCCTTACCACTCCTGCCCCATGGGTCCAGATACTCTTTTGCCCTGCCCTGATTATCCTGAACTTCCAAAACGACCCAACTTCAATATCCTCACAGTTTTTGCCTCATCTGCTATCCAACAATGCAGCGCCGGGTTGAATTCTACCCGGGTTGAAGGCCACCCGTGCCTTCTCATAAAAAGTACTTCCTAGGTGTGATCTTCTGCCCTTGATAGGATTCTGACAATTCTTGCGGCTTCTTTTCTTGCCTAACTTTCCTAGCTTGATACTTGAATCATAACCGTGAGTCTGTCACTATGAGGCATGTGCTTGCTTGACAGCTATAGCTGAGTTCATCTCCTGGTTCTGAGTCTAAGAGCTCACCTACAGTTCTGATTATGTATTCAGTCCCAGTACAGATCCTGCAAACACAATCAAGTGTGCCAAACATTGCGGCTACGTTTTCCAAAACATATAGCCAAGTTCTTTTAAATGGAACTTTATGTTAACTTTGCAAGTACTGTAATATAATTTAAGTATTATTAGGAGGCTGCACCATTTAGCTGATTAAACAGTTATCAGTTTAAAAGCTTTTTAACTGATCAAAAGGTGCCCCCAATTTATAGGGAAATATATTGTGTTAAATATTAACACATATAAAAAAGGCACAGGGTCAACAGCATATTAGAATCGGGTTGCCATATTTTAAAAAGTGAAAGTCCAGACACAACAGTTGACAAAGTTGTTGAGCTTTTTAAAAGAAAATTTGCCATAATCTACCCTTCTGGACGTATGGCACCTCTTAAAAGAAGATTCCAACTTCTTTTTCTATGACACAGGAGGGAATACATCGTGTGTTCTGTGGCACATACATGCCTTGTCTGAAAACAAGGAGGCACTCCCCACCCCCCAAAAAACAAGTGTCTTATTCATATGCAACTATAAAATTGATTAATTACTTAATGAAGGCTGCAATCTTATACCCACTTACCTGGTAGTAAGTCCCATTGAAGTCAGTAGGGATTACTTCTGAACAGATATGTATAAGATTGCACTGTAAACCTCAAACAATTAATTAAATAACTTTAAGAAATGAAGAAGAATGACAGCCCTAATATATTTCAAGACAGATGGAAAGTACATACAGAAGAAATAGTCAAGTAGAACCTATGAACACACTGCGTTCCCCCCCCATAAGACAAAACAGAAACAAATTAGTGTTTTCCATTAACAAGGATTTATATGAAGTAAAGTGTATGAGTATATGGGATGCTTCTAAAAGCTGGATAAGATAATGAAGAAAAGAAAGGTGCATTTTGGAGTCAGGAAAGAAGCAGAGAAGTGATTAATGCTACTAACCAATTTAAGTGGGTTGCAAATTTCCTGTAGAAGGAAACAAATTGAATCCATATTAACTGCAACCATTACTGTTTCAGATGTAAGCTCCATCTTATTCCTTCTTTTCCCCCTCTCCTTTGAAATGTTCAACTTTTTCGTTTCAATTGCAAGTTTGGTCCCTTGCCTTACATGTTACTTACTCACAAAAATACAGCATTTGCTAGTAAAGTTCTTTTGCATTGCGTGCCTTGCAGTTTCCCACAGGTCTTCATCATCTCAACTCTTCTTGTTCTATATTTGGTTTCCCCAAACCATGCCTACACTGTCTGCCTCATTAACATCTGGAAACTGCTGCCTTATCTCTGAGGTTCAAAATCCCTAGCCAGAGAACTGCTCTACCAAAATCTGGTTTTGCACATTAGCTTTGAGCTTCTCATGAGCTCCTTTAAATATTCATAATAATCAGAAAAAGGCCTATTGTTATCAATGAGCAACCCAATTCCGGCTTCCTTGTATAGCTTGATAATTTTTGCAAGTAATGCTTTGTAATCATCATGGCTGGTTTCTTTCTCAGCAGCATACTTGCATCTCTCTCTCCCCCTTCCTCTCTCCTGACATTCCTCCATATGCAGGATTATTCATGTTTATTTTTAAGCTAACCTAAGTTTCAAAAGTTTTAGTACTTCAGGGGCTTCTCGGCAAATGTTAAAACAATTTAAATAAAACATAAAATGAAATACATGTTTAAAAATTAAAGAAAACCCTTTATTTTGAATGATTAAATACCCACAGAGGTTTCTGCTATGCTACTCCGATGAGCGCAAATGGAATTTTCATGTTTTAATATTTTTGAGCTGGGAAAAGTTCATCTCGCCAAATAACCCTGCACCGCAAAGAGAGTATAGAAGACAAATAATAAATGTTTAATGAAGACCTGGGGCGCTTTCCCCCCCTTTTAAAACAGAAAGATTACACGAGCGTACGCAAACATTGTTATTTCACAATGAAGTGGGTTGTCTCAGCATCCTGCTACAGAGGAATCACGGCTTATACCACCTGCCTACCAAAATGGAAACAACATATATTAAACATGAAGGGTAACTTGTGCAGCGAGAAAATAAATATACCTTACGAGTAGATTACTGGGTTGTTTGGGAGGAAGACAAATCGTTTTGATTTCATTTCCAAATAAATTGCTACTTTGGACATTCCTAAATTCTGAAAGCAAGCTGAACTCAGGGAACATGCATTCAAACGCATTATAATGCAGTGAAAATTCACAGTTGCCATTCGCATCCTCCTCTCCCTTGGGTTTTCATCTACTGGTGAAATGCTGCTAAGATGAAACCCTTTGGTGCTACTAAGGTTGAGAAAGGAGAGGCTCACCCCATCAGCTCAGCTGAGAAATGAACTTCTCTTTGGCGCAGGCTTCCTCAAACTCAGCCCTCCAGATGTTTTGAGCCTACAGTTCCCATCATCCCTGACCACTGGTCCTGCTAGCTAGGAATCATGGGAGTTGTAGGCCAAAAATATCTGGAGGGCTGAGTTTGAGGAAGCCTGCTTTGGTTCCTCCTCTCCCTGGACTGTCTCCATTCTAGCTGGTCATCATAAGAAAAAGTAAGTAACTCCAAAAACTAGGGGTCCAAGTTGGCTTGTTTCCCTCTTTTCTCCCCAATCCTATTTCCTTTTGCATCACATTGATTAGACAATACGTTTGCATGCGGCAACTCTGGTTGTTGTTTTTTTAAAAAAAAAAACTTTTGAGAGTAGTTAAAAAGCTGCAGGTGCTTTATAAATTATTATTACTGTTGTCAGTAATGGCAACAATAGTAAATTTGTTAACCATGCTATGTACGTGTAGTGCTGGGTGACAAAATGGGGGAAAGGAGAAGGCACTTGTGGGTTGCTCCGCTAGATGTGTAGGAAAAACATGGGGTGGTTTCATCAGACCATAAAATCACAGAATTGTAGAGTTGGAAGAAATCCCAAAGGTCATCTGGTCCAACCGCCTGCAATGCAGGAATCTCAGCTAAAGCATCCATGACAGATGGCCACCCAACCTCTGCATGAATATGCAGTCATGGCACCAGGCAGCTTTGATGAGAGCAGGGAGCAGTAAAACAAGCACTAACCCTGAGCTGGCTGGGTCCGGGAGTTATGCTGAATGCAAGCATTACACACACCCATGCTGGGCACCATTGACTATTTGGCTAGCACATACATGCACTGTGTCCTTTTGGCTGGCCCCTGCCTCCACTAAGTTACTATACTTTGTCACCATACCACACAAATTACACAATATTTTGGTGAACCATGCTGACATTGGAGCCCAAAAGCAATAAATAGCACAGCTCTTGGGGGGTGGGGGTGGAGAGGAAGTTTTGTTTCTCTTGTGCTTAACGAAATAAACTAAAATTCAGTTTAGAAAATAACACCCCCAGAATCCCACTGAAAAGCGAGAAACTCCTATTAAAGAACCTATTAAAGAAATGTGTCATAACAAGATTTTCGATCGGTAATCAGCTCTGTACTAGAAAGGAGCAGAAGAAAAAGGCAGTCTGACAGAATGAATGAACAAGGAGGGAAGAAAAAAGGAGCGGGGAGTGGCACTTACATTCACTTGAAGACAGCTCAGCTGTCTTGCTCAAAAGCTGAAATAAGCATCAATCAGACAACCCAGTTCTCGTTTGCTACCTACACAACCTCTTCCCTTTAACTGATTGCTGGGCAGAACAATCCAAAAGGAAAGGAGAATCGAAGGCGAGCAAACCGCCTAATCCAAAGCCCCATTGGGCTTGTGTCAGTACGGCAGAAAGCAGTGGTGTGGGTTCTTCCTCCTTTTAATTGGTTCACTGCTACATTTTTAAAAATTAAATCCATGCCATTGCTTCCATGCAGCACACCTGGGGTATCTGTTCCCCCTGTTCTAGCATTGGAGACACAGGAGTGCCTAGATCCAATGTTTCCAAAGCCTCCTTTAACATGCCTGCTCCCCTCAAACATCTCCCCCCCTCCATTGTTTTCTCTGCTGTCATTCCACAGCAAGCAACATGTTACAACCAATCCCATCATTCTTTTCTCTCTTTCTAAGAAATGTGGGGAGGTGGGAGAAGTAGTGAAATGGGGAGAAGGGAAACTTTCTAGTGCCAGCTCTCTTCCCTGTGACTACCATTTTATTTCCCCAGAATCGCTCCTTGGAACAACACAATTTAATCATTCTGTGAGAGGCTTCTGTCAAAACAAAAAGGCGTCCCTTGACCACCGTCACCCCCGAAAAGCTACCTCAGAATCATCCTATGTGTGAAGAAATGGCTGCTGCTGGAAGAGTGCTATTGTCAGCACCATAAGAAAAGCGATGTTGAAGAAGGGTAAACTGTAGGGTGACTTTGGCGTCATTTTCCCTTGACTTCCACTCCGTCCCCTGCCCCAAAATTTCAGACTGAAACATCGCTGAAGCTAACTTTCAGCTGAGCACTATTTATTTTAACCCAATGCAGC